AACTTCTTGCTGTTCAAAGGGTGATGTCTCAAGTTCTGGAATTATTGATGGGGAAAAATCATCATTCTTCACTCTGAAAATTCCATGGTGATGTCTTACATTTCCTGTCAAGGGGCACTCAGTCCCGATCTCTTTGTTTTCAAACATTGGATCTACTTTATCAGGCTTGCTCCCATCATATCAGCCTAATTGCTTGCCATGTTCTGGGGGTGATGAATCTGATAGCAGATGAATTGTCTTGACTCAACCAGATTCTTTCAACCAAATGGATGCTACATCGTATGGTCTTCTGTTAGACTGACTCTCAGTTTGGGATACCGATGATTGATGCATTTGCCACTCATTAGAACACTCAGCTACTGGCATTTTGGTCTCTGAGACCTCACCCTCGGGCATTGGCGATAGATGCATTCATTCAGGACTGGACAAGATTGCAGCTCTATGCCTTCCCAGAAATTTGTCTCTTACACCCAGAGTTCTAGCTATGGTTTGATCAACCCCTTGTTTTATTCTGTTGGTAGCACCAGATTGGCCAGCTCAGCTCTGGTTTCTGATTCTTTGATACCACCAAGAGTGCCCACCTCTTTCACTTCCTCTTTGGCCGTCTCTATTGAGGCAGCCATGAAGTGATGTGGTACACCCACCTATCCCGAAGCTCAACTTTCATGCATGAGAGTTATTTGGTCCTTTCACAGCATCAGGTTTTCACTTCCAAAGTTGCCAAGTATCTGTATTAGTCTCTGTGTAGTAAAAACCTTCATTGTCATTTTCATTCTTTATCTTCAGTTTGTAACAAACTTTCAAATCACATAGATGCTCCTATTGTCTTTATATGCAGTAAAAATGTACATAAAAGTTGTATGTTATTTTCTAATTTATTAACCACACTTGACAAGTTACAAAAAAATCTTAGTTACCTTTAACCATCTGAGGAGTAAATTTATAGGTTTTATAAAAAAATATCAGGTATATTTCATTTTGAACAGACACTGTTTGGGCCCTTTTAAATTCTATGTACAAATAAGTTGAAAAAAACTGTATTAAGAGCATTTTTTAACCATTGGAGGATTATAAATACATTTGTATAACTTCTTTTATTGGAAGTTAAGCATATATTTATTACTGAATTTTATAAGTATCTCAATTTGAAAATTTAAGTGGTTACCAGAAGTTAAATTTTGACTTTTGAGCTGAATAATTTTAGTGTTTGGATTAAATGTTACAAAATCTTTAATATATTACCATTGCTTTCTCTTTGTATTCTAACTTAAACATCCATGAATTTCAGAGGTTCAAAATATACTTCCTCTTTTATAACCTTTATCAACAACTTCTGGTTATAGAATATAAAAACCATATCAAATGTTTTATTTAACATGTACTGAAACATAAACATTATTATTTAGGTCAATATGTAAAATGTATTATGCACATAGGTATAGAGTATGTGGGAGCCCCAAGAAAATACATAAGGTCCTTATAAACCTTTTTTACATATTAATTATCTTGCCCCTCACTCCAGAAAATGAAAACTGAGGTCCTATGATCATGCAAAACATTCTTTTAAATCATGAGCTTATGAAAATCTTTTTTTTTTTTTTACAAAAAGAAACAATAATGTAAAAATATCTCAAACAAGTTTAAGAGAGTAATTTCATGATATTGCAAAAAACTATATATAAAAATATTTGAAATGGTTGACCACCCACAAATAAGAAAAATCATCTCCAAGAATGCTTATTTATGAACATACCGAACTATAATGATCTTCTTTGAAAGATTTTTCTGTTACTCAATTGCTTAATATAATAATCATCCAAAATCAACTCCGTCATAACAATATGAAAAAAACTTATATTACACATATACAAAGTTTGATTTGATTTACTGAAAACAAATGACAAACAATTGAAATTACATTGTATTGTAACAGTATGAAGATTATCACAAACTAATGATATCAGCAACAGAAATACATTAAGTCTAATTCCACACTAATGAAAGTAAAGGGTGGGTTTAAATGTTTACTTTCCTCAAGGGTAAGTGTGCAAGAACAGCCGTCAAGGACAAAATGGTTCCTTATTATCCACAGGTTATGTTTAATTGTGCATAAGTTACAAAGCATACCTAGGGATATCGAGGTGGCCCCATGAAAACTTTTGTCACAATAGGCATAAACCCTTTGTTGCATGCTTGCCCTTGACATATTATCTATGTATATTTAATAACTGGTGTAGTTGTACGAGCATGGAATGCAACAGTCACATATGTTTTATCTAAATTTGAAGCATATATTTCCCCCAGCCTCTCAATCACTAAGGCTATGCTTAGCATCACATTAACAGTATACGTCATTATTAATTTTCTTGTCATGGTGAATTTAACAATAATCTATAGACTTGCATGAATCAGTTTATAAACAAATAAATATATTTACTATTCTTTGATAACACACTCATTTTTTTTCATGAAAGAAGTTTATAATCTGAAGTAGTCTTTTAAACCTTAACATTTTGAAGAGAATTAACAGTGCTACAACATGTATACAGTAAAGGGAAGTTAAGCCTATTTTAATTATGAAGACCTCTACTATAGCTTTTCTTTTCAAAATCTCTAAACTATGTTTTTGCCCATATGAGAGTTTTATGTTTTCAGAATTTTATAGTTTTTATGATATAACTCAGATTCTCATCTAATATTAAGTAATAGCTAAAGACATAGTAATGCGTATTATTGTTTGTTTGTTCTTAAGCACAAAGCTACACAATGGGCTATCTGTGCTCTGCCCACCACGGATATCGAAACCCGGTTTCTAGCGTTGTAAGTCCGCAGACATACCGCTGTGCCACTGGGGGGCAATGCGTATTATAACAAGTATAGACTTGTACAGCAAATTAGTTACTAGCTGTCAGAGCTGTATACAGCTATAGATTATGTTTCAATATGTGTTTAAGCCTTTTCTACTTCTAATAAGGAAGAAACCAATATTTTCAGGCCATAAAACTTCTAAAGATTCTAGCACACATAAAAGATATTAACCTGAAAAATTTCCAGAGTTTTAAGTTTATTTCCTTACAGTTCTATGTGACTTAGTTCAAGCTTTTGTGAAATATATTACAGTAAGACAGTTCATAGATCAAAGTATTTACTTTTTACAAAATTAAAGTCTATTAATATATGTTTTGGGGTTATTGTGTGAATATCATTCAGTACAAGAGTAACGTTTATTGTAAATTAAAATATATTAATCTGAAGTACCTGCTTGTATTTAAGAACTATAAAGTAATTGTACCTTTCAATCAACCACAAAGGAAAAAGACCCTTTCTGCATATGTTTAGTAACCAGTGTGCTATCTAATACAATACAAAAAGTAAATATTGTTGTATGAATATTGTTTTTCTCTTTCATGTCTCAAGGTACTTGGTTTATTATAATCAAATATGAAGGTCAACACTACATGGAACAATTCTTGTTTATGGGAGGATTGACTAGCTATGATGAGCGATGTGGATGCCACTGACAACTGTGTTCCTGAAAAACTCTGTGATAAACCCTAGTTGTACTTACTACTTATGATGATAGTTATACTGCACATTTTTGTTATACACTCACACTTAAAGAAATGCATTATTTGCATGTAATTTGTTAGGACAGCTTACATTTTGTACCAGTGATATAAACAAATTTCTTATGTACATAAACTAGACAAAAACATGTGTTTTAAGTGGCATCAAATGGATTTTTAACAAATGTAGATATAGAAAAAAACTGACATGAAGTGAAATCTTCTTTTCTAAACATAACTCTAGCCTGTATGTAAGAGTTCATTAAAATGGTGAATATAAAACAATTAACACTTAAAAGAAGAGGATTTAGTTGTGGGCAGAATTTAAAAAAAATAAAATAAACACCTGTTTAATACTGCCCATTTCTTCTTTGAAGCTAAGTTTGATCAGTTAACACTTTTGGCTCTTGAGATTTGGATGAATTATGTCCATCATTATTATGTAAAGCTTCTTTATAGCTGTGGAACAAGGCCACATGTTCTTGAAGAAGAGCTGTAGAGTAGAACCCAAGTCCACAGTTTAAGCATATGTGTTGTGCACGAAGGATGTGGGCTCGAGTCTTGCAGTGCCTGTTTAAATCAGAACGTGTCACTCCATTGTAGTTACAAGTTCGACAAAGGTGTTCTTTTATACCTTACAAGAAACAAAAAACATTTTTAACAGCTATGAATAAGCAGAATCAGTACATGTATTAAACATTTCATTGGTAATTACTTTTTCAATGTTTTAAACCTGCATCAAAACTTCATAAATAAAGATCTATGATCAGCCAACTGCAGTCTGGAGAAAAGCTTTCAAAGATGTTTTTAGATATAATTTGAAAGATGATATAAACCAATTACTATAACCATGTGCATGTGATAAAAGGAGGTATTTGTTGAACTCAAACTTATAAGTTCTATTTCCGATGACGAGGAACCCACTTTGAGACTAATAATGGCTGGAGACGGCTTGAATGGGTAATGAAGAAAAACATTAATATAAAGTTGATGATAATCAACTGATGATGACAAAACCTTGTCGAAACGTTGTACATTTGCTGTTATGTTAAACTTATATTGAAGATAAAGAATATTTCAATTAATTGATTTATTATGATTTTTTTTTTTTCAGTTTCCATACTTATGTTGAACACATTTAGCAACAGATGTAAAACTTTCTAGTTCACGTTTTATGTAAATTATCATCATTCCCAAGTTTCAAATTTGTAGAGTGTACCTTATGATCTTGAACATAAGACATACAATTTTACTTTATCTTTGAGTTTCCTCCCGGTGGATTGATTTAATGAGCAAGTTGGTAATATTTTTTTGTAGAACAAAATTGGCAACATGTTTCTAGCTTGTGATTGAAAGGAAAAAGTTACTATATTCAAATGTCTTTACTTTTTGACAGAAAGACCTGTGAATGTACTGTGTCTCAAGAGGTAGAAAGATAATCTTTCAAATCATGATTGTGATACACGTTAAAACATAAAGATAATTCAGCAGTCATCAGAAAGTGCTAAGCAGTATAAGGTCTTTAAAGTTGATGAGACTATAGGTAAAGTAAATACTAAGTCACAGCTATTTTTGTCATCAGTTTACTCGGTAACAAAAATTAAAACATGAATTCACCAGTTTATTATAATGTCATTATACAATCCCAATTGATGATTCATTACAAAATGTTATATTAGATTTTTGTTCTTAAGAAATGTCTTACAGTTATGGATCTTAAACAGTGCTTTGAAATTCTGCCATGGGCTAATTTTTTCAGTACAAAAACTTGAGCATTCTTATTTAACTTTATTTTCTTAACCAACATTGGTATTTCAATGACAAATACTATCTCCACTTCATTGCAGTATGATCATGCCTAAATAATTGTAAAGATTATACTTTTATCATAATAATACATATTTAACCATGATTTAAACTCGCATTCTGCATCTTATGCTGGGCATTTCTCTGTGGAGACATCCTACTCCTGGCTAACATGAATTCAAGCAGCTCATCTCTCGTTTGGGCTGGAACGACTCGACTACTCCGTATTTCTTGTGATTACGTTTAAAAAATTTAAATGTATAGAGCCATGCATTTTCTTTCAACGTCCGTTTTCCTGGTTTCCACCTTTAACAAATATGCACATAATCTATATTATATAAAACCTATTTAATGAAGCCCATTATTTAACCCAACACTCTTATTATTTTAAAATTTAACATGTTTTGCTAGGGTTAATATGATTATATACATACAAATATATATATTATATTAATATATGTATATTACCTTTGATGTATTGAAAAAATGTGCAAGTTCGCTTGCTTCACAAATAACTGAGCATGCTTGCAAAAACAATTGAAATTTGAACCAGAACTTACAGAAAATATACATTTGAGGTAGTCAAACAAAACGTCATTAACTGGTTTTTGTATTATGCTAGATTAAAGCTACAAGACAGTTTCATTAAAAAATAATTATTACTGGACGGAGATAATACAACATCCAGCTTAATAATAAAATGTTAAGACAGCCCATGGTCACAAACGCTGTCGAATTCACTATTAATGATGTTATCAATGTCATCCTTCGTAACCAATATTATCACCTAACCCTAATGAGGTTGACACTCACCCCGCTTTCTGCTAGATGTAGCTGTTAGCAATGAAATATGAAATTTACTAGTATGTATAGCTGACTTCACGCGAATTTTATCAAAAAATCTCCAGTGCTCCGTTCTCGGTTGCACAATTAAAGGAGGAGATAAATCACCCTTCAATAACCAGAAACTGTTGAGTGAGTGAATAGCGGCGATTAAGCCATAGGAGCCTGGAAAGCTAAGAAACCTGTATAAACCCGATCCTTCTGTGCTCGCCTGCTATGATCATTTTGAAAACACAGCCTACAAATTGTCTAATTACTATAGTAAACAATGAAGCTGCTTGTGATCAGAATGTTTGTTTGTTATGAATTTTGCACAAAGCTACACGAGAGATATCTGCGCTAGCAGTCCCTAATTTAGCTGTGTAAGACTAGCAGCTAGTCATCACCACCCACCGCTAACTCTTGGGCTACTCTTTTACCAACGAATAGTGGGATTGACTGTCACATTATAACGCCCCACGGCTGAAAGGGCGAGCATGTTTGGTGGGACGGGGATTCGAATCCGTGACCCTCAGATTGCGAGTCGAGCGCCCTAACCATGCCGGGCCTATGATCAAAATGATAAATTAATTTATCAAAGTTTGCATTTTTTTCATTTACACATCTATGTTAAAAATAAAATATAACTACGGCTATAATTTCTCAAGAAATAACTAAATTTTTCTGTTGAAAATTATTTCTTTCTTGTCTTAACGGCTTTATTTTTTGACAATTTATATCCTTACGTATTACTATTTACTAAGTCCAAACAAATGAATAGGAGCAGAACCTTGGCCCGGCATGGCCAGGTGGTTAGG